GGTCTGGTCTCCTCCCCAGTTACCTCTCCTGTTCCACCAGAGCACTTGGCTGCCCCATCATAGCATCCATGACATTTGTTTGTTTCTATTTATACGACTGCCCCTCTTGCCACCATGATATAGTTATTGAACAATACCAGGGACTTAAATCCACAGCATACAAACCAAAGGAAAAAGAAAAGCTAAGCCTTACTCCTTCTCCCCACTCCCCCCGGCAACTTCACTGCGGCTTCTCTTGGCTTTTAAAGGCCAGCTGTGCAGAAGGTGCACATTTACCCCTCTCGTGCGCAAATTAGCATCAATCTGATATCAGACTGCAGTCTGCCAAATCTTCCTGTCAGCTGTGTTGGGCCCTCGTTCGCTTTTTGTCTTGCAGTTGCGAAAGAGAACCCCGGAGCTGATTCTCCGTCTGGCTTCCTTTCCAGATGCGGAGGGACCTGGCCCACAGTGAGAAGACCTGGCCACCATTTTCCATTGATATCAAGGTGGTGAGAGGGCCAATAACAAGGACAGACGCCTCCGACGCTGTAGTGGCCCTGAGGGCGCACTGGGTGTTGCCCACAGCTTCAGTCACGTGAGAGGCAGCGTGCCAGGGTTCGTGGAGCATTGAAAACAGCTCTGGCTGATGATTCAGTTACTAATGAAGGTGCCACTTTTGCTCTAAGAGCCTCCCAAGACTGTGGTTTCAAAAGAAGAAGTAGCTGTCCAGGAAAAGCGAACTTGGCTCGTGTACATGTGACTGCCTATGTGGAGGTCTATGCTTTCTTTGTAACTTGCACATTGCAAATATGAAACCAAATTAGGGACTCCTGATTTACAAAGGTTGCCACTTTTGTAGTGAAGGGAGCTTTCTGACTTCAGAGCTGAATCTTACTCCTGGGATAACTCCCTTTTATACCAAATGGACTCAAGGTATTATTTTAAGTTTCTTTCCCATGCCATAATTATAGAAGTTATAGAAATAATATTAAGAAAGATTCAGCCACAATCTGTACAATGTGAGGATCTTGCAGACCTTTATTAATACCTGAAATTGGATGGAATAGAAAAATAAGGTGACCTGCTACATACTTACATGGGCCAGATTGAGATTGCTATGAACCTAGTTCTTGAAAGAGCACCTCTTTGCAATCTGTTGATGCCTTGAGATCTTCCATAGAGGCCTTCTGTAGGTGGAAGATCTCCTTGGAAGGAGAATACCTCCTTTATTCAAGTATGCTATTTTACAATAAAGGAGAGCTGCTTTTCCATGAAAATCTGTCTTTTATTAAATCTCTGTGGCTCTGGGGTGGCCACCATTTCAGTGCCAAGGAAAACAATGTTTTTCTGTTTAGAATTTTAAAACGTTTGCTTGGTTTATTGATTTATCTGCTGTTTCATTACTGAATGAATATTATTTCTATAATAATAATGAATGAACAATGCTGTTTCATCCATGAAGATGGATGTATAAATGGAATACATAAATGATTTCAACAATAATCTGAAAGTGGGCATCAAATGAATCTGAATTACCCTCTTTTACTGGAAGGGTTGTGAGAAGGTGCTCACAGGAAGACTGGAACTCTACTTCATTGAGATGGGCTACAATAACAGAATCTTGCAAGTCTGCCTGTGCTTCACCTGCCCTCGTAGCCCAGTGAATCAGAGAACAGCCTGTCTGAGACTCTTCCAAATACTGTCTTCTTTCCAGGATTTAAGGAATGTTTCAGCCCTCTCTGCTGATGCAACAGTTCTTGTATATTTCAGTCAAGGTAGTCTCCCTTATACTCTCTACACCTATTCCCGTGTGTGTGTGTGTGTGCGTGCGCGCACATGCACAAAAGAGAGATACCATTAATGTACCTATGGAAACCTAAATGCTCTGAGTTCATGAAAATGCTTTTTTGAGTCTAATATACATATTCAACCACAGTGTGCTTTGGTTTCCTTTAATAAATATTGACGACGCTCCCTGAGTTTATTAACACCTAATTAATATCAGCCTCTTGAAAATATCATATAGGAAGTTTGGGTTTTTTGGCATATTTTAATTAATTAATTAATTAATTAATTAATATTTATCTATTTTAATTAATGTTTATTCTGTTTTTACTGTAAACCACCTAGAGTCACTCCACAGTGAGATGGGCAGTGACAAATTTGAAATATAAATGAGTAAAATAAAGAAAAATACTGCCACATTCTTGACCAGCTTACAAATGCTTTTCAAGGGCAGCCCCACGCAAAGTGCACTGCAGTAGTCCAACCGGGAAGGAACTAAGGCACAAGTGACCATTAGAAAAGCCTTTGATCCAGGAGCAGGCCCAGCTGATCTACAAGATGGATTAATGCAAAGGCCCTCGTGGCTACGGCTGCCCCTGCTCCTAGAGCAGGAGGTATGAGTCCAGGAGGACGCCCAGACTGCACACCAGCGTGGTCTGGGGGAGTTCTATTCCACGCAGAGGAATACTCCAATGGGATTGAAAGTTGGGAAATTTGTGGCTGCTTCAGCACTGCTGTGCTACTGTGCGCTGCAGTCAGCCGAGGTCACGTGATTATTATGGGCATATCCCCAACCTCTTTCCTGCCTCCCTCTGTCCCCTGCGCTCAATTGGCTGATGGCAAGGCCTGACAGGTGAGCGGCAATTGGCTGCTTTGGAAACAAGGCCAAAGTTTGAAATCTCAATGGTGGTGGGCCTTGAGGGAAGGATGAGGGAGCAACTCGGATGCCTGCTGATGAGGTAGGGCTGGCTGGGGGGCATCGGTGGTTGATGGGTGAGCCCTCTTCCTCCCTTGAGGGAGGGGGCCCTTGGGGACACACCAGAATAGGGAGTGGGGTGCAGTTTTCTCATGGTCCGTGGCTCCCTGTGTTCCGTCTCCCCCAGCAAAGTGGCAGGTAGTTCTGCAGGTCAATTGAGGAAGAAGAGGAGGAGGAGGAGGCTTCAGTGGGGCTCTCCTGAGGATCTTGAGGGGAGGGCAAATGGCACAAGCTTAGATTACATGTGGAAAGGAAGGAAGGAAGGAGGGAGGAAGGGAAGGAGGGAGGGAGGAAGGAAGGAAGATTTCTGATGCTCCCTGCCAGCTTCCAACAAGCAAAGTCAATGGGGAAGCCAGCAGCAAGTCGTAAGTCGCTCCCATTCCCGTTGCTTTTTTGCCCTTGGTCATAGGTAAGGAAATATCTCTGAAATGATGACCCAATGGGTCACAGGTTGTCTAGTTCTTTCTGTGAAGGAGATAGTTGCCAGCAAGACAAGTTGGGATTTTCCTAGAAGGTCCTGGCAGTGAAGTCACTGGGAGCCTGGTGGGAACATCTGCAACTGGAGGCACTCTGTTGCTGATCTGCCCTCTAGATATGCTTCTTCTGCTGCTCCTTCTATGTGGGCAAGAGAATATGTGGGCATATATGATGTGTGGCTCCTGCTCTCCAAGTAATTGGAGTGATAGAAAGCCAATTAAATCACTGCAAATAAAAATGCCCAGGTTCATCTTTTACTGAATGTGCCTATTCAGCATTGTGGAAACAGCTCCCGGGTTCTTCAGTGCCTGTAAAGTTGACAATTACATCGATGACTCTTCTTTTCCTTAGCCACAACTCTCTAAGTCACAGAAGTCCTCCAGTTTCCCCTTTGGAGGAGTAATGTTGCAACTGTGGGGAGAAAAAACCCACCCTCTTTTTAAAAGTCTTTAAGTCACTGCCTGCAAGTTGGGCATGAGTCACCCCTGGAAAAGGAGAGGCGACTGTTCTTCTGGTCAGCATCTTCTCTCTTTTGTAGACTTAAGCAATCCTAGCTCTCGAATTTTGCAAGGCAGCCTCAGTAGGTCTGCCAGACCTGAAACGAAGTGGCAAGTTGATACCTTGCATGGTGAGGAGGCTTGGCTGGTCTTGGTCCTAGCAAAAGCTTGGTTCCCCAGTGAGACAGAGAGGTTAGCCACTCTGTGCAGGTGTTCCATAACATTGTGGGTTGCCTTCCACAGAAGTTCTCCAGAATGGCTCAGCAAAGTGGTTTTTAGAAAGAATTGTCACGGAGGTCACAATGGGCAAATTTCATACAATGAAGAAGGCTATTGCTTCTTTGTCTTTCTCTGCTCATGGGGTTCCGGTGCCAGGCAATAGAGGGAGAGGGGCTTTGGGGCAACCTTCCTTCCACACGTGGACCTCAAAGACTCCCAAAGTTGCACCAGGGAATGGGATGGCCGACTGTCATATATAACAGCATTAGAGACACTCCCGGTTCCTGGACCTGCTCTGATCTCTAGATCTCGACTGATCCCCAGACCAGCAAGGAGGTGGCTACCAAGATCCACTCAGGGACAAATGAAAGAACCAGTGCAAAACAAGAGGGCTTGTGTAGGCAGACCATGATCTTTTTTTTTATCAATAAGAGGAGTTTTCCTCTGAGAAGATTTTGCCAGAAGTCTTTAAAAGGCCTTGTTTTATAGAGGAACAGAGGGAGAAGACTTCCTCTGCAACCTCCATTTGCCCTCCTCCAATGAACAGAATCCTTGAGTCGTTGGCCTCTCTGTCTATCCTGCTGCTCAATGCAGGAATCTACACCCCTCTGGGCCGTTGTTCCCTGGTTGAACTTCTCTTACTCTCAGAGAGGTTTCCTATATTCAGCTGGATTCTCCCTTCTTCTACTATAAGGCCATTATTCCTCTCAGATTTGAGAGAACAGGCTTTGACATTCTTCTGCGCGCACACACATGCACGCACACACACACCCCTACCCTTTCTGGTCTTTGAGAAATGCTAAAGTATCTCTCTATTGTCTTTTCTCAAGGATAACATCCCAGAGTTTTCAAGAAGTCCTTATCGCTGCATATCAAAGCAAGTTCCTTTCAGAAATTTCAGGGTGGCATGATTTAACCTATTGCTTCTTTAATCAGTTGGCTCCAATTGTTTTGTGGACACTCAGCCTATTGCAAGATTTTTTTTAAAAAAGTAAATAAATAAGGAAGGAAGGATAATAAAGCAAGCAAGGAAAAGGAAGTTGTGCTTACTTTACTTCTGGTCTTAAGAGAGGACAGCATCTCTCTAGTGGAGAGCAAGGAAGTGGTAGAAAAGATGGAAAGATGGGCCCGGCTGTGGATTCTGGGCTTTGTGGCCATTGTCCCTGGAAAAGGTGAGTTCAGAAGCTCTCCTTGTTACTCCCTGTAAAATGAGGAGCAAAGTTGATGAACTTCAGAATTTTAGGGAGCTACTGTGATAGCTTGGATGTTGGACTAGAATCCAGGAGTCCAGTTCGAGTCCAGCATCAGCTGTGGAAACTTGCTGGGTGATTTTGGCCCAGCCCTACCTCACAAAGTGGCTGTTACAGGAATAAAATGGGAAGATAGCATTTGATGTATGCTCCCTCAAGGTCCTGGACAAAAGGAAGAATCCTGTCAGACAAATAAAAGGGTAGACAGGTGCCTTCAAGTACTCGGCATATTTTGAATGCTAATTCTCAAAAAAATGCTCTTATAGCTAAACATAGTTCTATAGCAAAATAGAATTTCTACTCCTTTGGAAGGAAATGCCTTTTTAAAGGGATGCCTGGTGTAGCATGTATGTGTTTAAAATACAGAGGTCCTTTGGCATGATTATTTTATTTATATTTAAATGTATGCACATGTATTATTTGCATAGGTTAATGATCAGCATAACTTCATGAAATTTGATTTCAGAAGGGTAGACTTTTGCAAATCTGTTGTTAAAAAGATGAACATTATCTACTAAGCTTTCACAGATCACAATCCTTCCTTCGTTTTAGTAGACTTAATCAGCTAAGAATTCCTGAAGAGTGACGATCTTTTTGACCAACCTGGAAGAAAGCACATTGGGGGAGATTTTAAGAAGGCAAAATGTGGCAGGGGGTGGGCTTTGAATCTATGACCCAGCAATGGGGGAGCTGTTGGCACAAGAGCAGTGAAGAAAGTGGGCAGGTGGGGGTTCAGGATGCACGTCCCATCCAGGCAGTGAATGTTCCCATCTCACATCTATCCAGGGCCATTGGCAGGGCATGTCGAGTTGGTTGAAGCTCCAGCTGTTTTTATGTGTGTGGCGTATATAAAATAGGCTGAGTTTCAGTTGCATCATTGTGATCGCCATCTTAACTTTTCTGACCACACCCGGTGGGCACTCCTGTATCTATAGTTTCCATTCCAGCAGGAGATGCAGATCCATGGAGCTGGTCAGGAGACAGCTTAAGGCAGCAGTTTTCAAACTTTTTCAGGCCATGGAATCTGTTAGTTAAAAAGAAATTTCCCAGAACCCCTAATCAAGAGGCAAAATTCTAGGGACTGAAAACTGGCAATAAAACAAAACTTAGGCTCATTGAATTGATTTACACAGATTCATATATTGAAGTTACTTGAATTCACAACAATGAATGCCCCAATTCCTGCCCCAGAAGGTTCCCCCACTTATTAAAAGTAGAAAAAGTAACTTGTTTATTGTAAATGCTAAAATTAATGTTTCAATGTGCAAAAATTAAAACTTGAATGTCACAATTACTTGGGAGGCTAATGTTTTAACCAAAGAAATCAATGTTCCATGACTGGGATGTGCTTGCTTTTCCTTGGACAAAAGTTCAATATTTGGAGCAATTGATGACACCTGTAAGCAGAGATCTTCTTCTATAGCTAGCCTGTTTAGAATCATAGAGTTGGGAGGAACCTCAGAGGTCATCAAGTCCAACCCCCTGCCCACTGCGCTATACCGTGACTGTCCGCGTCTGTTGGAAAACCTCCAGTGAAGGTGAAGAAGCCACTGCATGTGGTGACCCATTCCACTGGCTGACCGCTCTTACTGTCAAGAGGTTCTTCCGCATGTCAAATCTCTGTCTACACCCTTGAAGTTTCTCATCTCATGAGTTTACTTCTATGCTTGTTTTTTGTCACTGCGTGTAAAGAGAAGGTTCTCCCGTGAAGTTGTGTTGTTGTAAACATCATAAGCTATGTTAATACCTGACTGGCAATTTCAGGATTTTCTTCTGAAAGCTGTATCCAGAAATTCTCAAGTTCCACATGAGGAAATGTCTGTAATGTGAAATCAGTAGAAATGTCCATAAGTTGTTCCATCTCCCTCAATGGCAATTCAAATGCATTAGTAGGTACAAGAGGATTCTGGACCCAGTCAAATACTCTGCCTGGAGGGGGAAAATATCCCGTGACTGCGGCACCCAAATCAGACAGGTGTGGTTTCCCCAGGATTTTGACATTTTTCATTGATGGAAATTTCTTTTGTTGATAAAAACTTGCTGAGATTTGGAAGGCAATCAAGATTGTTTTTAAAAACATGCTCACTCCAAAGCTGAGTTTTAGTTGAGCTGTATACATTTTACTTTGAAGTTTAAATCATCTGAAGGGAGAAACCAGCCGCACTCTGTTTTAGTTGTTTTTATTAGTTCCTCTTCACAAAAAGTCTTTGACACCAGGTTAGAGAGTGATACACAATTTTTTGCAGAATTTTGATTAGTCGTGCATTCTGCCAGACCTTTTATGCATGCAACTTTTCTGCAACAGCACGAGCTTCACCTGCTTTTGCTCTGCGATCACTGACTAGATAGGCAACTAAAGGGCAATTTCCCTTGCTACACAAAAATGTACAAAAGGCTGTTTTCTTCTCATGAAGTTCTGCACATTTTCATTTGAAACACTCAGGACATTTATCTTTCAAACTGAGATGTTTGGTTTCCAGACTCTTGGTAATTTTGTAGGATTCAGACTGATTGCTACCCAATATTTGCTCACCTTCAACACAGTCTTTGTGTTCCTTGCCAGTGCCCATAAAGCCAGAGTTGATGAGTTTTGTTTCCGAGTTGTGCTTGAGGTTGATTTCTCAGGACTTCTGCCATTAGAAGCAGCAGCACTGGAATTTGTTCACTTTTTCTGTACCGTCTGCAATTGGAGGCCAACAGCCCATATCTGGAAAAATGTTTACATTACATAAGTATTTATTAGTCCTAATCAAAAAACAAAATAAAAAGAATATGTATATTCTGGGGGCTATATATCCAGGATGGGTAGCTAGACACTCACTTTTTATATTTCATTTTTTAGACTGCGTAAGCAAACATAGTGACCTTGTCCATGCTGAGGCTGAAAGCCTTGTCCCCTTTTCACAGCCCCATCCAGAGGCTGTGTCAACAACTGGGCATTCTGTTCTTTGTTGGGATAAATCTTAAACTTCCCTTTTCCATTCCCAAGAATAATCTTGGAACACCTCTGAGCTCTGACAGAAGTTGTGGTGTCACATGTCACCCCCTGGGTCCTCCCAGGGTAGACCTGCATGTCTTTCATCCTGGATCTGTGGGTGCCGGGGAGCTCGGCTACCTGGCCGTACGTTAGTTTGGCCTCTTCCTGGAAGATGAACAAGCTGCATGGTTAAATTGGGAAATCATATAGTTAGAAACATTCCAGCTCCTAGGAAAAAAATAGAGCATGTGCAATCCAACTCCATCTCTCAAGAGAGATGAAATTTAAAAATGATTGCTACGTTCCCCCTCATCTGTAAAAAGCAGAAACATGGAAACTGTAGCAGGATTATCATGGGATATGTCACTGATCCTGCCATATGAGCTCCACAAAGTGGCTGCAAATCAGAGAAGCCAAGAGATGTGTGCTGAGCATGAGGCACTCTCTTGCCATCACAGCCCAACTGATCATCTTGGAAGAGGAGGAGGAAACTTTAGTGGCAAATCAGAACCTCCTTTGTGCATCGAAGGAAGGGCAACAAAGTAGAAGGACATTGAAGGTCCTGATCCCAAACCTGGGAGACCTCAGGAGTGAAGGAGGACAAGGTTCTCCTTGCAGTAAGGGAACACCCACACCAGTATCTGCAGGCCAGAATCTGACCTGACTTAATACAAGAGACGACTGAGGAATGAGGGCTGCGTCCCTCAGCTGCATCTTTCTGTCCTTGGCTGGTCTATGCCATCAATTTCTTTGCATCTTGTCTGCTGCTTGCAGATGACAAAGGCAGGCCAGTTAGCTGTGTTTCTTCTTTTGGTTTAAGAGGAAATCAGAAAGAAAGAAGTAAAACTTCCCTTCTCCCTGTTTTCTTTGGACTGGACAGAAATAAAAAGGAGATCAGACGAACGGAAAGGCACCTTCTGGAGCCTGTGGCTTTTCTGCTTCCTTCCTCTTCTCTTAGTGACCTTCTAGAAGCTCTTCTCCATGACCAATTTCACGATGCAGGAGCCTCCCCTCCCATAACTAGCCCAGCACCTGTCCCAGCATCACAGTTTTTGCATCTTTTTCATTCTGCTCTGCTTGCTTGACAGTTTGGTTTAGATTGGGGCAGGTAACCCTTTTCTGTTCAGTGATACACTAGTGCTTTTTAATGTCATTTAGTTTTCATCAAGAGTATTCACAGAGTATGGTCACAAAAATCAAGATGGTAGCTGGGATGGTGTGATTGAAACTCCAACTGGGTTTTATGTGATCAGACTACCACGACTGCCACCTTGACTTTTGTGACCATACCCTGCGAACATCCCTGTTGTCGTCTAAAGACCCTGGAGAGCAGAGCACCCTTATGTTGTTCAGGAAACTATTGAAGACCTGGTGGTTCTGGTCAACTGTATCTTTTATATGTATGTATATATGTCTCTCTCTCTCTCTCTCTCTCTCTCTCTCTCTCTCTCTCTCAATGGAAAAAAGGAGAAGAGGATGTCCAATGGCAGGGTGAAGGACACAGCGGATTATGGAACCATGTGGAGGCCCCACTGAGAGATCTGAGAGGCAAAGTCAAAGCCAGATGCTCATCCTGGAGATCATCTAGCCAAGTGGTTGCTAAGAGCTGACACTGATCTGATGGCACAATCAATCAATCGATCATCTTAAACATAGAAGAGTTTGTTTATTGCTTGTTTTAAAGTTATTAAAGTTGTTTGTTTTAAAATTATTAAAGCTATTCAACTATACTCAAATGTTGTGCTCTTTGACTCTGAGTGTTGCAAAATTATAACAACAACAAAAAGGGGTTTCCACTCCTGACTGATTCTTGCCAACAAGGTAGGTTCTGCTAAATGTACAGAAAATGGTTGCTGTGAAAGATACAAGTTAGTGGAAGGGCAACTGATGCCACCTGTGAGGTGCAAGAGCCAAAGGAGCATGTGTGGATAAGACAATTCTTGCCTGACAGATTTCTCCCTGTTTAGTTGGTTCCCAGCACTTTGAATGACACAATAGCAGTCTGCACCAACAGCCCTTCTTCCCCTGAGAATGTCGTATTTCCTTTCTGGTGTTGGCATTCCAAATTTTCTGCTTATATTTCTGTCGCCTCTCTTCCAGCTGTCCCGGATTTGACTGGCATAAACATGGCCAATGGTACCTGGAGAGCTCCCATCACTTTGCCCTGCATGTACGAACCCTCCGCTGACTTCAAGGAGGTCAAAGTGACTTGGAAATTCCTCATACAAGGCGAAGAGCCTCACTCCATCTTCCTCCGTGATTCCTCCGGGGACCATACATTCTTGGCTGCTTTCAGACACCGAATCAGTGTTGCAAAGAAGTCCCCCGGAGATGTTTCTCTCCAAATCAAGGAACTTGAAATGACCGATACTGGAGCGTACACTTGCTCAGTTCAGTGGGAAGCCAAGAACATGAGCAAATTCACTGAAGAAAAGATGGTCCAGCTCCAGGTTGTAAAAGGTAACCCTAGGCAGTAATATGCCAGCTTGCCTGCAGGGCATCCTGAGACCATCGATGCAAAAGCCAGCAAGGGCTTCCACTTAATTTTGTATCATTTCCTTGTGATTTAGTTACTTCTTTTCTAGTTTTCTTCCTTCTCAAGAATTTCAAAGCTACGAGCTGAATAATAATAAAAGGATGCATCATAACCATAAATGTGAATGATCACCAGCAGCAGCACAACTTTGCTTTGAATATTTATACTTTTAATTTTCCTTTTACAAAGGAAGTGGTAACTGGGATCAGGAAAGCCCCCCAGCTTCTCTTTGCATTAATAAGGCCTAGGAACCCGATTTCCCTTTTATTTTCTTCATGGTTTAGCTCTTAATTGCTCCAGGTGCTCTGACAAACATTCGCTCCTTTCCTGCACTCTAGTTCCGGCGTCCAAGCCAGCCATTCAGCCCAGCCGCCTGGAATCTGTCCTGCCCAACGGGACCAGGGTGAGCCTGACCTGCTCAGCCAATGGTTCTCCGCCCATCAAATACCGATGGTACAAGGAAAGGCCTGGAAGAGAAGCAGAGTACCTGCAGATGGGCGCAGTCCTTGCCTTCAACAGCCTGCAGCCACACAATTCGGCCAGATACTTCTGCACGGCAGAAAACAGACTTAGCGTGCAAAAGGAACAGAGCGATTCCTTTCAGCTGACAGTGAAAGGTAAGGGGATAGCACTGCAGCAGAGGCACAATGTCTACAGCAGTGTTGTCCAAACTTGGCCACTTTAAGATGAGTGGACTTCAACTCCCA